GGTTTTTGTCTAGGACTGAGCCATTGTTTTTGTCATTTAATATTCGCATAGAGAATTATTTTTCATCACTGGTGACAATTCTGTCCAAAAAATCGTTCACACGCATTATGTGCCAGAAAAGATGAAGCAACATTCACATGTTAGAAATGACGATCATCAAAGAGTTTGTGAGGCACCCAAACATCTAATTTATGGAGTTTTCCCATATTCCTTAGATGTTTATGTATTGTTTTCTCACCATTATCTTAGTATTAGGTCATCAAGAAATTAATGTCGTGTTTTGAAACACTTTCATTAACCACCCCCAAAACTTACATCACATATAATAGTTAAACGAACCAACTAAATGACACGTTAGTGTAGCCTATATAATGTGTAAAGTTTAGTATACTCTAATCCCTTATAGTAATGGTGCACAACAAGACACACATTTGGCATGTAATGCTGTTTGAATACAAAAAGGGAAACAACTACACTGTAGCCACAAAGAAGTTTATGGAAATGTTTTGAATGTTCATAAGTGTGAATAATGGTTTAGCAAATTTCGTTTAGATGACTTTAGCCTTAAAAACTGTGATGGCCGGGACCGACATGTTGGAATTGATATTGATGATCTGAAGGCGTCTGTTGAGTCTAACCCAAGGCAACACACTTGTGAAATGGCCTCTCATTATTATGTACTCAACATAATGGAGGTAACTAAGTAACTTGTTGGTTAATTATGCCAACGTATTTGCAAGACTAGATTGCCGACTGGTTTGAACAACAGACACTTAACATCACATAGACACAGGTCATGCATGTCTGATTACCCAACTACTTCCAGGCTTCCTTGGAGCACTAGAGATGTAGCCAGCACCAAAGTAAATCAAAGAATAGATCATACAGCTCTCAGAGAGTGCTCATTTGTCTCCAATAGTAATTGTCAGAAAAAAAGAAATGTTCAAGGTTCTGTGTTTATTTTAGATGGGTGAATAAGGCAACTCATGTTGATGCATTTCCACTACTGTAAGTATATGAAAGTTTGGATGCACTGAAAGAACCCTGATGGTTCAATATGTTAGACCTGACATCTAGATACTGGCAAATCATGTGGGATGATGATAGCAGACATAAGAGTAATAAGACTGATTTAATGAATGGCCTGTATAAGTTTTGGGTCATGCCATTCGGCCTGTGTAATGTGCCCACCATATCTGAAAGGCTAATGGTGCTTATACTGAAAGGGTTGTAATGGGAGAAGTGCCAGATTCATGTCCAAAATGTCTTAACAATTGGTTGCACATTTGAATGAAAATGGTATTTCAGCAAATAAAAATGTGCACTTGTGTGATTGAAGTGGAAGTTCTTGGTCATACTGTGGGTTGAGAAGGAGACTGGTCTCAATCTGTGACTCAGCAAGAAGTCTGAATGTACCATTTCCTAGGTTTTGCAGCATACCATTGAGAGTTTGTGGTCAACTTTTCCAAGTTCATATGCTGGAATAGTCATTGAAAAGGTAAGCTTATGGAATTGTAAGGATTGTATCTGTTGCATCACATTCAAAAGCCAGTACACAATTACCAACACATCTGAGATTATTAGTTCAAGGATACAATCCTTACAATTCCATAAGCTTACCTTTTCAATGACTATTCCAGCATGAAGCTACATAACTGCTCATCCATATTTACAGATCATGACCAGGACTTCATCCTTCAATGGACAGATAATTTTCCAAGCTAATGCTGCTTGCTTTTATGGAGAGAAAACAGCCTATTGCATGCGAGAGCTCTGTAACTGGGTTACACGATACTAACACACTACACTTCATGTTTGTGTATAAGGGGGTTACTATGACCTTCTTTTACATACAACCAGGCATTTCATCCTTCCTGGGTCTAGTCTGACTGATATTGAATGATTCTTCCAGGAAACATCAATTTACCTGTTGCACAGGCAAAACTGACTGATAATATCTGCAGTATACCTATTCCAGAACCAAAGTTGGTGAAAACTACCTTCATTCTGTAAAGAAGTTTTCTAGACATAATCAGATAGTTTTTCTTTCCATTCACATCTAATTTATCTCCATTTGCCAGAAAGAAGTTTGCATTGACTGGCCAGGATGACAGTAAAACCAGTGTTGTTAATATCAAATCACAGAATAATGATGACAATAATAAAAAAAGAACCAGAAGAATAAAATCCTAATTTACAAGATTATTCAAAATAACAGTCTTGAACACTTTCAAGGAATATCATAAATCACAAATAAATATAAAGTGAGTAGTTACAATAATATGTCTTAACAAATCATCATAGCTTCACAGTCTAAACATATTTCTCTCTTTAGTCAGTCTAATTTCAAGTGTTAAGGCTTTTTATTGTCTTGCCAGATCATAAGGTTATATGTCAGATGTCTAACTAGTTAACATATGTCTTACATAAACAATCGTAAACCTAGTATCCATATGGCACTACTAGGTTTTTTTTTGGTGTCTTAATATAAAAATCACTCATTTAATATACGCTAGGAGGTAGGTGAGATAGTGTTTAAGACAAATAAGAATACTGCTGAATCAAATGATAGAAGTTAAATTACATAAAAAACAGTAAGCAAAATCATGACTAAAAATCAAGTAGCAATTACTTCCTAACAAATATGATATCAGTATATTTTTAAGATGATTGCAGAATTTGTAAAATTTTATACTTTGGTTAAAATTGTCAGTAATTTGGATGTATGAATATTTCTACAACAAAAATTATGAAAGATTTAGTATGGTTCAGATAAATATCTTGCTAAAACACTGAATATGATTTTATATGCTTTCTCATGTTATCTTTTTTCTTTTTGTAATTTTTTATTAATTAGGATTGGTGATATCAGTCTTGGCGATTTCAAGATGTTATTTAACAGATCAGGAAACTTTCGTTACCATTTCAAAACCTTTGACAAAGAGTATGGGGCAATAAAGGAAGAGGTAAAACTGTGTTTGTAATTCTTTTAAGGTTTGTTAAACAAATACTGCAAAAGTAGAAGTTAAAATGCTTTAGATTCTTTTTTATTTTAACCTGGTGGTAGTTGTTAATCAAAAGTATATATAGACTGCAGCCTTGTATTTCAAACACATTTCCAGGAAAGCCCATGAGAGTGTAACTTTAATGGTAATTCATATTACTGAAAACAGAAACATGTCCTGAATGCACAAAAGGTATTGGAGGATTTGAGTTATAACTGTTCACAAATTTGAAGAGTATGGAATTCAAAATTGTGCACTGTTTAAAGGATCAATGGAGTGAAGTATAATTATGAATATTAACACAATAGTATAGATACTGAGAGAAATACTGACAAAAATGTGGTCAAAGGCACCATAATACTAACTTCAGGTATTTGAATAATAGCACTACGTTGGTTACAAATAAAAATAATAACAATTTACAATATTGTGCACATTTTAATGCACTGAATTACAGGTAGAACTAGAAATAATAATCAAATCTATGGATCTTTCCAGCAAAATAAAATGTTTTCTTTCAAATACAGGTTTCATGACCTAAACCATTGATCAGCAACAAAGTTGCAAAAATGACAGATAATGGTCAGAAGAACACTTTTTACCTTCATGTATGTTAACATGGAATCCTACTTAAAATCAAATTAAAAGCTGATTTTTAATCATACCTGAACTGCATGATGTATAAGAAAATAATCTTTCATATAATGGTAAATCTATGTTATCATAATTATAGAATACCCAAACCTACTGTTTCAATACACAGTTGCTACCAGTGAATATACATTGTACACATACATCAACTAGCATGAGTATAAGTCCTCTCAAACAGTTCGTTTGATTCTGATGCATTTAGCTCTTTTCACAGTATCTTGATAGACTTGATAAAGCTAATATAGTAATTCTCTTAAAATAATTTTATTCTTTTATTAGTGTCCACACTTGATTAATGCCATTAATAGTCTTAATGATGTCCATAGGTAGCTCAGCAGTATGTCTAAAGTCTTATAATGCTAAAAATTGGGTTTCAGTACTTGTGATGGGCAGAGCACAAATTGCCCATTGTGTAGCTTTGTGTTTAATGACAAACAGTCATAACACGTTAATATTCCCTGTTGAGTCAACAGTAAGTTTAGGGACATACATAAGTAAAATCTGGGATTCAATTTCCCTCAGTGGACATTGCACAGATAATTTAGTGTGTTACTTTGCACTACAAACAAACATGCTGATTGAATTATTTACCAAGAGTAGTGCAACTGACTAATTTCTAAAAAGCATGCAGATTAAAACACACACACACACATAAATACACATGTTCAAGTAATTTGTATGGTTCCATTTTCATGTTGCATTTGAATTAAGTTTGGCAGTTTTCTTAAAGTTATAGAAAGATGAAATAGAAATCACTCTTGGACCAGTGGTGTCATGAAGGGTACAGTTAAACTGGATTGATCCACTTCATCTGACCACCAAAAAAGTTAGTTTATTCAAATTTTTTGTTACCAGTACAACTTTGCCTTATACAACTATTAAATTATATAATTTTCAGGTTCTCCATGATGATGAGATTCTTCCTAGCTGGGATGGCAAGATTATTGCTTGGATTGAAGAGGACCTTGACTAGGTTCACCCAGTAACTTACTGTAGAGATGTTTATGCAGTATCTTGTATTCATCCATATAACTTGTGCAAAAAAATTAGAGGAAAGTAGAGCACTAAATCTGAAGCATACAAAGTCTCCAATATGGCATTAATGTACAATTTCTTATTTTGATATATGTTTTTAGTTGCAAGTTAAATTTAGCAAAGTCCAATGAAAAAAATGAGCAGTCAGATATGATAAAGTCAGCCCAAAATAGAAATTATATACTAGAGGGAAAATGTTCTCCTCTTCTTAATCTGTGACAGTGTTGATTCTAGCAATTAAATGTAGTTATGGTTCTTTTAATTTATATTGTTATATGCTTGCAAATAACAAAATGTTAAGCATTGAATTATCAAAATTTAAACAATTACTTTTCAAAATCAAATATTATTGTGTAAATGTAGTTATGTTATGACTAATGATTATGTTAGTATTTAATCTTATCAATCAGAAAAATGAAACTTGTGCAGTTTGAACTTGATAATTGAGGGGCAAGAAATCATGTTATATTAAAGAATATAATAATATAAAATTGGATTCTACAAAAACGTTTTTTGTACTAACAGAGAAATGGTGAATAAATGATAAAGCAATATTTTTTAAAGAGGTCAAGAGCAGTTTTAGAGGGGCCAGGCTTGGTGGGCCTTCCCAATGGCTACAAGCCTGTTTAAATCTTTGGCTATTTAAATAAAATTGTTTAATAATCCAAGACTATGTGCTTGGTAGACTTAAATAATTTGGCATAATATTTTAGTAGGAAAACTGTTGGAGCTTTATCATGCCTGATATTTTGTTGATCAAAATTCAGAGTGCTATGATTTTTAGTTCGTAACTGTTTGTTTAATGGATATATTTAATGAACCCAGTGTATTTTAAACACAAGGCTTTTTCTGTATTCCAAAATTTAGTTGAAAGCTTCCAATTCTTTTCAGTTTAAAACCAAAAACATTAATTGATGCACTGTTTTTAATTTTTTATTGATTGGATCTACTAAGAAAGATGTAACAAATTGAACAAGTTTTTCTGAATAAATGCCGTGAGGAGTATGTTTATTGAAATTTGTGATGGTAAAAAAAATAAATAAATTGGGAATGGTGATACCTGAAAAATATAACTGTTTTATTTTTTGTTAATTTGTACTTTTGGTTCTACTTTCAGACCATATTTTTTAGATTAAATTTCTCTTTTTACACTGATTATCCTCTTAGAGTATCTTCAGGGTATCAGTTTTTGGATTGAATCATTTGAACTGCTGTATTTTTTCCTCATTAAACTAATAAGACATGTTTTTTATTTGTTTTCTGGAATCAAAAGAAAATGAGGATAACCTGTATTTAGGAATTATTATTCTGATGTGGATATTTCTTCAAAAATTTGACTTTAGCCAATAATCATGCAGTGCCAAGATGTGTATACTTAAGTGTATGTTTGTGTTTAAGACTACATTTAATGGTAATAGTTGATTGTTACAATTTGCAAATAGAAAAGGCAAATTAAAAGTAGCAGTCGTAGTGATTTACAAATGATGGATTTAGTTATTAAAAGTATTATGTATCTTGTACATAAAATCCTGTAACAATAGAAAGACAAAGGAATAAATATATTGGTATGACAAAGTACTCACTGTGAATGTATTATTTTTACCACCAGCTACTTTCAACCAACAGAGAAGCTTTATAAAGTCAGATGTTATAACTTTCCAATACTGAAAATGTATTTCCGATAGGTACTTACTTCAACTTCTTGTTCAGTGCTGCCTTCTATATACAAAAATTTTTTTGCATGCCACAAGCATTGAGCTCCCACATAACCTACATACAGTCTCGCCTGTAAATCATCATGGACAACCCTCCTCCAATAGGAGTGTGACACACCCTTTTGATGCACGAGACTCCCTCTATTCAATTCTACTGAACTATCACTTCAAGTTTTGGCAGAAAATGGAAGCACTGGTTTTCAGTGGGGAGGAAGTGTGAGGGGAGGTAAGTACCTATCGGAAATACATTTTCAGTAGGAGAAAATTATAACTTTCGATACAGTGCGTTACCGCCTCTCACATATATAGCTAGAATCCACATTGAATGGGTGGAGGGACCGATGCGAGGGAAAGAAAGAAGCATCCAAAGAACACCATAAAAGAGAAAATCCTTGCATTAGAGGATCATACGTGGGAGACTGCACCATTTCTGTACCAGGTGTACTCTTTGCCCAGTGTGGAAAGAGGTGATGCAGACATGGGCTGAAAATGTGAGGAGCACATACAAAAGGGAGATAATAATGTTTGAAAAGGGATCCGAACCCCAATCCCATTGATTAAATGAATGTGGGTGAGAGTAAAAAGGATGTTCCCCTAGGTGTAGAGTGACCATACATGGCAAGTCAACGGCATCCAAAACCCAGCTGCTGGGAACCAACATCCACGCAGGGGTAGGATGAGGGATCCAAATCAAAGGGGTGAACTGCAATTTTGATGGCTCTCTCCAAAGCTACAACATCCTCTTAGATAGACCCTTACAGAGATGGAGAGTCACATTCCTCCAGACTCTCCATCATAGTTCACCCCCCTCCCCCTTGCTTTCAGTGGAGTATGGGAGTCCTTACCACTTTCCAGTTCCAAGCTGCTGGGGTGGTGGACTGTGGAGGCATCCTCCTGAATGTGATATACAATACAAACAATAATGAAACCATGAGAGTAGGGCAGTGGTGTTTTGCTGGTGTAGATGATATGTCTTCCAATCTCAAACCAGAGACAGTGCAATGGGTGACCACAAAACCCTATTTTGAAAAGCAGACCAAACCCGATTTATTCACTCTAAGGAATAGCAGAGATGAGCAGCTATCCCCTCCTGCTTTACCCATGAAGTCCAAGGGTGATTGCCATTTGGAACAGGCATATTTATGAAGCAAATATATCGTAAGGAATAACCTATGGACAATTTTGTGGAACACCCCATCTCTAGTTTATGCAATTTTAATGAACAATGTGTGTTATACTGTGGAACATGTCTACAAAAAATGAGATAGGTATAGCAGATTCTGCAGTAGAGGCCTGGAAAGGCAAGCCATGATCAGGTGGAGGAAAACTGACAAAATCTAGGTCATCTGAAATGGGTTCTGCTCGTGTAGAAGGAAAGCAAGCAATATTGGGAGCAAGTAGGGGGGTCATTGGCTCCCAGGAGCCCTCACAAACGAAATTAATGGTAAAAAGTATAAATTATAAAGAAAGATGAAAATGAGAATAGTCGATATATTGTAAATGTTAAGAAATAGTGTAGTGAAATATACATATGTATTAGATGTGTTATGTGTTGAAGAATAGTTATTTAAGGTAATTATCGGTTATCCTGGTAGAACTACAGGTAAACCGAAAATAACAAACACGTGTTAAGCCTAATCAAACAATGCAGGATAAAGTATATCACTAAGCTCTGAATTAAAAACCCTAACCTAACAATAAGTATGTACAATATTGGGAGAAGAAGTATGTGCACACTCCGGCTCCAGGGTTCCACAAAAATCAAGTTAATATGAAGAAATATAAAAAGATAAATAATAATGAAAATGAAATAAGTGTGTATTAACAATAACATATGTATGATGCATAATGTATGGAAGAAAAACAATGTAGTTAACCTAATGATCAATTATACCAGTAAGATGAATTACAGGTAATTCTAAAAATAACAAAGACCCATTGTAAGCCTAAACGGATGCAAATCCCGCAACGTTCGTATTAAAGATTTTTGATATAACCGTATTTTTAATATTTATTATAAAACTTTGTTTTGTTACACTTTTATAGATCATGATAACTAAAACAATTTCCTTGGACACTGAAAATTTCAAGGTATTCAACAGCTATAATTTTTTTCTTTATGTAATTGTAAGTTCAAACTATCATACGGTCTACACATGTCGATATCAAGCTGAAGGTTTTCTTCTCTAATGTCACTAAAATCTGCCAGTAAATAAAATGTTAACATAAGAAAAATGCAGTTATGAAATAAAAATATTTTGTCGAAAAAAAAGAAGTAAACAATATACAAATTCATAATTTCTTTTCTTTTTTATTCATATCAGCTTGTACAGATAAATACACTCTATGTCCTAGTTTAGAGGTTTTTATTCAGCAATCTAGGCAAAATACTCTAAAGGACAAAGATATATTTCATATTTACATCACTGGGGGGGAAAAGCACATGATTTGAACTTTAAACATGATACAGTACAGGGGCTCTAAAGAAAAAGTGATACATATTTACATTGTATGTAACAGCAGGGGTGTGTGGATAGAAAATATTGCAATAAATTCGGTGATTTACGTTTTATGCACTGTGTGTAAAACTGCAATGCAAGTTGTAACTTGTACATAAGGATGTACCAGTGCATGAGAGAGAGCTAGTTGTGAAGAGAATATTTTATTTCAAAATTATGAAAAACCACACCAATAAACAAGTAACCTGTGACATTGTCTAGTCGTTTGTTGGAAAAATGTTTTATGCACACAAAATAATTATAATACATTATAAAGGCATCATACTTTTGATAAAATAGTAAAGAAATTATTAAAGCACTAGCTGAAATAAAAAAAATTTTTGGTGTATTACAAATGTAAAAACTATAACAGTTTGAAAGGTTTTTAAGAATTTCGAATAAAAATGACTTATTCTTCCACTTGAGATTCTTTTTTTGTCAGATTTGATCATATTAAGCTTATGCATCAACAGATGAGTTGAAAAGATTTTGAAAGCGAAGCAGATTGGTGATTTGAGGAATGGAAGGGTGTATTAAAAATATTCGTATCTCTAACTACAAAGAAATAACCTAAGTAAAGCTACAATAAATGAAACTTTGAAGAAAATACAGTAAACATAATAAATTTTCCTGCCAGACATAATGAATTAAAGTGGACTTACTTGATTAGAGTATCTCAAACCATCTAAATATATCAATAGTTAGACCTATTATTTTAATATTTCATGTCACATTTTAAAGCACGTGTATCTTTGGCACAATAAGCAATTTTTTTAAAGCCATTTATATAAAATCATAGCATCCTCAGAGACTATATATATATATATCTGATATGAAAATAAGATTTCAATTACAGTGAAGAAAAGTTTAATTGGTTCACATTAGATTTTGCATATTTATACAATAGTCAAGATAAAAAAATAAAATGATGTAGCATATGCTGTGAAAGGAAGACACTGTATTTCACATAGTTAGCGTAGTTGAAAAAACCTAATATTTCTTTCCAACATTTGCGGTTATTTTATAGGATTTACACCAAAGTTTATTACATATTAATAAAGGATATGAGAAAAAATTGATTAAAGTCATACCTGACTGCACGAGTTTGTTTTCTTCTTATATTCCTTGGAATTATTTCATTATGGATTTTGAATCAGTAGTGGGTAAAATATTTCAGATATATCTTTTTTGTCTACCACAAGTCACTACATAAGCAGCTTTTTATTCAGCAAGCAAATGGGCTTTTAATCACTTAAAAACCTATCTGTAAAAAGCCTCACGGATTTAACAGATTAGATGTTTTACACGGTTATGATATTCAAAGATGTGTTAAGCATATATTAAATAAACTTAAATTAAAGAGCACATAAGAACAAAAAAGTCTAGCTATTTAAAAAGATTATTGTAAGTTATTTGATTTACCTGTTAGCTGTGAAATAAGACAAAAAAATAAATCACATCTAACTGAAATTTACTCATAACAAGCTTGAGGATTATAAGAGAGAAACATTTAGAAATAAGCTAACTTTGAATAAAAAACACCAATGAAACCAGGTTATCTAATCAAAAAATAATGAACTTCACTGTGATATTTGATAAATATAAGAACAAATTTCTAATTCAATACATTATATGGTTAAAAAAAGGAACAACAAAAACATCACATCTGTATGTAATTTCCCCCAGTTTTTCTTATAGCAGAAATTAAAGTTAAGATGTAGTAACAATACCATCATGCTAATCTAGAAATGTTTTGATATCACAGCTTGAAATGATTGTTTACTGTACAATGCTCTTCAGGATAATTTGTTGGGTAACCAAAATTGTACCAGATGCAAGTCTTTGGACAAAACATTGCATAACAATATTTAATCTACAATTATAATTGACTGATGAGCTTTTATATATATTATGGGCAAATATATATGTGTGTGTGTGTGTGTACTTTTTTTGCTATTACAGTATTTATAAAAGCTTCAGCAAAATAAAGCTTATATGTAGTTTATTTATTTATAATTAATATACTTTTTAACATTACCTGTTTGTACATGTAAAGGTAAAGTAGTTAAGTGCTATTAGTCTCTACACTAATTTAAACAATAATGATACATTGCATATTTACAACAACACCTGAAACAAAATTATGAGCTTCAACTTTAAACATATTATACAGTCAAAGAAAGTCATAATGTCAACTACATATTAATATATAGATACATACACACACACACACACACATATATATATATACAAATACATTTTACACTACTGTGGGATAAAGAATGTGATAATAAATCTCATGATTATGTAGCTATGCATTGGTTGAAAATATTTAGTGGGGATATTACTGGTATGTTGATAGTAGTTGTGACCAAGGTTTTATGACAGTATATTTCATAATAAGCTAGCCATCCATAAAAAACATCTTAATAACAATTAGATGTTTCCTTATTTAGAACTTTTGGTAAACCCTAAAGTATAATTATATGTGTATATATAATTATATTACTTTTTTAAATTTATTTACAAAACATTTAGGGTAAAACTTCTAAACCATAGAAATTTTCTCAAGTATCAGAGAAAAAAAACATAGAATAAAACATTTCATTGTTCTTGATATATAAATATGTCCTAATGCTATGCCCATGTGGTAGCTATTCCTGACATGTAAATTTTATTAAGCATTCCTGTTTTAAATAAAGTATTTTTGGATCATAGGATAAGAAAAGATTATAAAAACACTGTTCTGATGAAATGAAAACCAATCCAACCAAATTATCTTCTCAACTTGCACACAATTATGGAGAGTATGTAAGCATTTATGCAAATATCACTTTAACCTTGTATAATGGGAAAAATGCAGAATGAAAATTTCAGCTGAACATAAGGAATAAACTTACATAAGTAAACTAATTGACTAGGTTAAAACTTCTTTTTTTTTTTACAACAATAATCTCTCAATACCCGCTTCACTTCTTGGGTGAAATAGTTATCCTTCAAAAATTGCTGGAAAAAAATTTCGAAAATAGATTAATTTCTCTTCCAGAAGGAAGGGGGGGAAAAAAACTCTGATCCTATAAAAGTTTCATCTTGGATGAACACATTTCAGAGGCAGCATTTGTTCACAAAAAGAATGAACCTCCAGTCACTTCTGTTTACTAACAAACTCATGCAAAATGTCTCTAGCCATTTCAAGGTTATTCCTAGCAATACCTAGGGCACGAATCACTGCATCTTGTGTGTAACCTTCTGAAGTAAGAGCAGCAATGTAATCCATGTGAAGATTTTCATAACTAACTCTATCATTTTCTTTGTTCTCTAAAGAGCTTGTTCCAAGTGGCTTCATAGGACGTGTCCTGAAATTATAGATAAGTCTATGTGAATACAAAATAATGTTCATAAAAGAGCAAGTCTTAATGAATGAGTTATTAAATAGGAAACTCACCAAGTATATAGTTAAAAGATCAATACACTTTGTATTATTTAGATCATTCTGAAAGTCTATCCCATTACATATCAAGAGCAACTTGAAAGTCTTAAGTATCATTACAGAACGTTGGCATACATTAATAAAAAGTTTTATAATAAACTAAAAAATACTGAATTTACTATGTCTTGGCTATATAAACATAATTCACAAATATGCATTTTGATAAAAAGCTAGCAAAAGTATTGAAAGTAATTTGAAGACTGAATACCACATATGTAGAAAACACTGAAAACATTTAAAACTTATACTCCTGAATTTAACAATCATCTTCAGGATCAAACATTTGGACATAAAACTCCCAGTGATGATAACTGTCCTGTAAAATAATGTAGGAAATATATGAACAATGTTTTACAACACAGAGTATTTTAAAGCTAAACTTCTGAAGCTTTTAAGATTTTGCACTTTAACTTTTGTGTACTTTATCTAACATAAATGTTTTTTGAAAGACAATAACAGCAAATTATTCTGCTTAAAAAAACAACAATAGCAAGACAGAATTATCTCAACTATGGAATGTACATGGTCCTTGTGATTTACACATATTATATTTCCATATACTTAATCAGAATTTCTTTATTTATGGCAAAACTACTAAGGCTACCTGCCACCATCTCAAATTTTGGAATACTTACCAGAGGGAAGGCAACCAGCTAACAGCACCCATTGCTAACTCTTGAGTTACTCTTTACCAATGAATAGTGGGATTGATCATCACATTATAATACTGCCCAGCTGAAAGGGTGACCATATTCAGCACCTGATTTTAATCATGCAGATTGTGAGTCGAGGACCTTAACCACCACGCCAAGTCATGCCAAAAACAAGAAGTACTTTTTATTCTACCTAGGAAGGACCAAACACTATTCCTCACATTTAACTATCTGTTACATGTAAAAAGTCATCTTAGTGCATAGGTGGTGATGACTTTAAGTTATTTTGATACCACAAAAAGAGTAAAAAAAGGTTAAAATTACCAAATTATATAACAAAACTAAATATAAAGGGAATTATAAAGAAAGTTTTTGCAGTTCAGCATGTCATGTTTCAAAGGTGATATCCCACAAGAGTGTTAAAGGTATCATGCAGATTCAAATGCCAAAGTTGTCATACGTTGCCATTATGATTTAATATCTAATCAATCACAGCAACTCTTCAAAATATGCTTTTCTAGCATCCAAACTGTATGACAATGGATATTATAGCAATAAAGTGCATCTCATCTGGTATGCTGGCCATTTCCACCAGCTGTATACATGAGGTCTGGTATTGTGCGAGTCTTTCCATGATACATGTGTAACTTCAAGTATCCCACAACCAGAAATTGGCTGGTGTTAGGTCTAGTGAATCAGGTGACCTTCTACTAGGAAAGTGATGTGAAATGATTCTGTCCTGAAAGTGCTCCCACAGATATGTTTCAACTGTTTACTTCTATATGGAGGGGCAATATCCTGCATGAAAACTATAGTGTCTATCACATATCATTGCTGCAGCATGAACTTCATACTTGCTGTGAGAAATGCAAGGTACTGGGCAGGTGTGCTGATGATTCTTCAAAATTTTATGGTCCAATAACAAACTCAGCTATAAAACCACAAAACACTGCCATCATAGAGGTGTGTAGGAAATGTTACACGTGGATTAGTTTCCAACCAGATAATGCAGTTGCACGTGTTGAAACTTCATGAAAGGGTGCAGTGTACTTCATCAGTACATAAAATATTGGGAGGCCATTGTTTATCGACTTCCAGTCTTCCAAAGAACTGCTACACAAAATTAACACATTGAGTTAAGTCAGTTTCCTTCAGTGCTTGAACATGATACAGCTTGTAAAAAAAACATTTGCAAAGTTGGCCAAAGATCCTTATTGACATTTGAAATTGGCAAATCCAGACACCAGGTTACATTATTGTGCACTGCATCATCCACATGTATTTTTGCAGGATTGTTCTGCTAAGGTATGTCTGATCTCAAAGAGTTTCATTGGTTGTTGATGATCTGCTTACATGTGGCTAATCAAAGTGCAACTCGTCTCCTCAAATTTTTTTTCAAGAATTTGTGCACAACAACACTGGAACAAGTGCCTCTGCTGTCTCAGCATTGCATTCTATGATGTAATAAAATTTCACTAGTTCACCTCTCTTGTCAGTTTCATGTTGGTTGAATGAGCTTTACTACAATCAACAGACCCATTTATACCAATGAGAAATATGCGAAAGAAATCACAGTGTTGACCTGGGTGAAAATATATGACAACTTTAACGTGTTCATCCCATGATCCCCTTTACAGCCCTGTGCATTTTCACCTTCTTATGCCATACTATTTGTGATATACAATGTGCTGAACTGCTAAAGTTTCTTGTAAGTTAGAAATGTTTTAAGTATATATATAAAATATGTCTCTTGTAAATATACTGTT